GATATTCAAGGAACTGTAGTTGCCTTTGCGGACTTTAATTCAGATAAATAGTTCGTGTGTTTTTCCAAACTTTTTACCTTATTAAGGTGACACTTTTATGCGGCGTTTCTGAATTCGTTCGCTTAATCACTTGAATTTCATTTAACAACGTACAACTTAGCAAAAACAAACTTTCATAGCATAGAAGTGTCACCAAATTAATCATACATCAATAAATCACTTGTTATTATTTTACCAACTTTTTTTATTGTGTCTTTTGTTCTAGTACAGATGTCTTCGTTCTGAGCGAAAACCAATCCGTCGTGAATGTTTATACTTGGCATCACAGTAACGAATCTTTTTACATCTACCTATTTCTATAATCTTTAATAATAAAATTTCTCAGATTAATTATATTTCCTCGATTTAGAAAATTGGAGTTTTAAAAAATCAGATGCCCAAATTACTATTACGGCTGACAAAGATCCAGGATTTCTGATCACGAATATTTTGCCCGGTGATTTTAATTATGACGGAAAATTGGATGTGTTGGTTATGGGACAAAAAGATCCGAAGAATAATGCAGACGAGGAAATTCTTATGCGTGTTTATCTCGGGAATGGAAATGATGCTTTTGGTAATGATTTGAAATTTCTCAATATAATAGTAATTCGGTTTGCTTATTAGTTATATTTAATTCATAGATGAAAATTACATTAAGATCCCTTCGGCAAAAACATCGCAACCAATTCCATTTGATTATAATGGGAATATGACTACCGATTTACTTGGTTACATGTATGAGAATAATGATGAATCGGGATTATTTGTGTGGAAAAATTTGTATGGACCGGAAGTACAGACTGGGGATTTATTTGAAGTGTATGTTTTTTTTCATGTTATAATATAAATTTTTAGATTTATTTCCGATTAATTCTTTTAATAAATTTTATAGATCACCAATAGCACTAAATGAAACAGTCACTAAAATGTGTAAATGGGCAGAACCTCATTCTAATGCTTTTGTAGATTTGAATGGTGATTGCTTATCAGGCAACTATTTATTGTTTGTTCATTTTTAATTTATTTTCACACGTTATGAGAAAATACCTCAATAAACGGATCATCTTTTTTTAGATTTGTTTGTAACATGTCAAGAAAATTCTAATAGTCCAGTCACATTTCAAATTTGGACTAATTCCAAACAGAAAGGGTTTGAATTTAGTCGTGCTGGTTATTTGCCCAAAGGGGTGGGACAAATTTCTTTTGCCGATATGGGTAAGAACAAGTGAATCTTCTATATTTTGATAAGAGAGATAAATCAAACTCACGATAATTTTTTTATTCTGGATTTGTTGATAAAGACGGTGATGGTACAATTGATATGGTCTTTCCGGTCTGCACCAATAATCAATGTCAAATTCATGTTACCTACAACAAACAAATTCCACTCTGCTCAAAAGAGACCAGCAAAAATTGTCGGCAGTCTGCAAATTTATGCGTTGCTGATGATAATTTCCAGTTTGATCTAAAAGCTGATGCATGTCTCTTTGTATATATGTGTTTTTTGTCATGCATTTGTGATATTTTATTAATACTAGGTTTATATTTATTACTAATAGGTATATCCATTTAAAGAAAAAATAAAGATTTTAGATTCTGGATTTAAAGGGACTTTGCCGGTACCAATTCGTATAGGTATATATTAGCGTTGACCGATATTTCTTGGATCTTTTATAATTAGTTAAATATTTTTTGGTAGGCGACTATAATCTCGACGGTTATCCTGATCTTCTTGTGATAAGTGATTCTGGCCATGTATCATTATTACAATCAATTCCATGCAATAAGGCTGATTGCCGACGCACATTCTCAAAAGTATCTACTGGTGCGGCAATTTTGAATTCGATAAATAAGGCTACGACGGCTGCTTTCTTGGATCTTGATGAAGATGTACGTTGTTTGTGTCGTGTCATGTTTGTTTTCATGCAATATGGATAGTTCTTGAGGATAAATCATGAATCATAAATTTAGGGAACCTTCGATATAATGGTGCTTGAGTCCAGATCGAATTCAGATTCAACAGCTCGAAATGTGCAAATGATACACAACAACTATTTCAATGATGCTTTCTTTGTAAAGACTTTAGGTTTGTTCTTTTTTTTTTGTGAAAATAAAAACCTTAATGAAATTCTTAATTTGAATAATAAATATTAACAATATATAATATTTAGTTTTGAATGGTGTCGAAGAGAAAAAGGTACTTTTACTTTTAATGTTGATTATTTGATTTTTATTAATCCATTATGAATTATCGAATGTATAGAAACCATTTGGTGTTAATTATCCCGGTGCGGCATTTAAGTTTACTGTACTTGACACTTCAGGACATAAGAGAGCTAACCAAGGTATTTGAACAAAACGAAAGATTTTACGTGTCTTAACGCTAAAATTCTTTTAATTATTATAATTATAGTCGCACAGTATTCACAAGCAGGATATGTCTCCTTACAAGCACCATATTCTCTTTTTGGACTTGGTCGTACCAACAATTATGTAGAAGAGCTTTTTGTGGGGACGACAAGAAATCAAGTAATAATAATATTTTTTTCGTTTTTTTAAATCAGTTATTTATGATTTTCTTTAACTTTTTCTATAGACGCGTCATTTTAGTAGTTTTTCCGGCGTCATTCCCAATTCTCAACTTATCATAGTTCCGTATCAGCCATTCGGTGTAGATAATCCAAGCACGTAAGTGAAGGCAAACAAAAAATTAAGCTAACATCAAAAACAACTTATAAATTTTATAATTATTAATAACAGTTGGTCAATAAAACTATATATTCATCCGGGAGACTGGATTCCATGGGTATTATTGACTTTAGTCTCAGCGACTGGTATTCTGGCAATCGTCGTATTTGGATTAAATTGGGCTGAGAAGGTAAATTTTATTAATAAGATCTTTATTTCATTTTGTCTCAATGTTGGAAAGCTACATATTTTATTTTTTATTGTTATTTATTACCAGAGAGAGGACGAACTGGAGAAACGAAAAGCATTACACGTTATAAATTTCGATGCTTTGTGAATAGTTTTGAATAATTTATTCCTTAATCTGTTGTTAATTTCTGTTGTAATATTAATTTTTTTTAAAGTCAAAAATGATTTGAAAGAACAAAAATGTGACGATTTTTCAAATGTATAACAACAATTTTAAGATATTTCAAAATTGTGTCCCTTCTGCTATAAAGTTAAGGTGGCACCAGCCTTAACTCTTATATGCAAGGATATGATTCTAAGCATATATGCCATTCTCTACATTTTTGCGGATCATGTGATTTAACGATATTTTTTTTGAAAGATGCTTATGAAACTACCTACTGAGAGAGAACCACGTGATCCACAAAAACTGTAGAGTCACAAGTTTTGATTGGTTCAGAATACTAAAGACCAATTTTAGGGTTAGGATTAGAAATTATGAAATTGTTTTCCGGCATTTTTAACGTTAATTAATAAAAATTAATTTTTTGGTCCAAGTGTAACCAGCCAATCAGCGATGAGGTTTACCTGCGTCCAATCAGAACTTGGAGAGGTTAAACCGACAGACTGTACTTTTTTTCCTAATCAATCTAATCTTAATAATATTCAAAACAAATATTTGTTTACAAATTACTTTGTGTTTAACATTTTCTTGAACTTTGATACAAGTTATATTGCAGGAAAAAGAGGTAGTTATTTGCATTTTAAATAAACTTAGTAAAGATATTATAACTTATTTATCAAAGCCGGTTTTGCAGGCTAACATAAAGCTTTTTTGTCTGAATTTATATCATTCTACTTTTTAAAACAAATAAATTTTTTTATTAAAGTATAAAATAGCATGAAAAGGAGATTCAGAGGCTAAAAAGTCAGATATCATATTCAAAGTAAAGATATTTCAGATGAACAAATATTTTTTTATGATGATAAAGTTATTTGAAGATATTTTTGCTTGAAGAAGACACAAGTTTTCATTCAATATGATGAGATAGTAAAGGAGAAAATTAGCAAGTTTGTCAAAATATTTCTTTTGAATATTTTTCAGAAAGAGAAGAATATGGATGTATTTGTTATAGATTCAAAATATTCAACAAAAGATAGCCAAAATAATATTTGGTTATTAAATCAAAATTATTTAGTTTAAGTCTCTTTTATTATCATTAATATATTCTACTTTCTTTAGATCTAATATTTCTAGAAAATAACATAAAAAAAGTAGTCAATATATTAAATTTAGAACTAAGCTTAGATGATTCAACAATTTCTTTATTATGGAATTTTGAGTATTTCTGAAAATATTAAATTTTTTTAAACTTTAAATAAAATTCACTTCCGATAGTTTTCGGTAACAAAGGAATATAGTTATTCAAGCAGAAAAGGAAAAAAACTCGGCTTCAACCTGATTGTACCATTATAATCTTATCACGAAATTTACCTTCTTTTAATTCGAATTAAGTCAATTAAAATAAATTTTTTTTAATTTAAACTACATAATGAACCCTAATACAAACGCATAGCTTCCATTGACCTCTATTAGAGCCAAAAATTGGCTTTTTCATGTTATTTGTTAATTTCATAACAAGTTCGTAAGAAATGTTTCCATTTATAGAATTTCAGTTACCACGAAAAAAAATGAATCATTCAAGTTAGGGACAAATATCAACATACAATAATTCAATTCAAGCGAAAATAATATCATTCAATTTATTTCGACTAGAAGAATCGAATGGTACGGTAATATTTTGTATTTATTGGACACACCAAGCTATTAAAAATGTAAATGATCAACCAAATTTTTAAGTATTATTTTCGCTTGAATTGATCGATTTTAACTTTTCTCCAATTCATTAGTAAATATAATGCATCCCTCAAGTAGAGGGCGAGGCGGAGGCCGTGGATCTTTTAGGAGAGGGGGTCGTGGTGGGCGAGGAGGAGTTAGTGGACGTGGTCGTCGAACTCCAGGTCCTTTAGACGGGGTGTCTTGGAGTGAACTGCAAAAAATGTATACGCCAGAAGGGCCAATAGACGCTTTTCCTGTAAGCTTAAATAAAAATAGAGAGTAAATAAAGCCTATACAGTCTTAATTGTGTTTCTTTATGTTTTTTGGTGCGTCTCAATAATATTTTTTGTGAATGATAGGAGCGCGAACTTGCCTCAATTAAGCGGCCAAATGAAGATGAAGAAGAAATGATGAAATTTTTATTTGATTTCAAGGCAGCATTAAAAGATACAGCATATTATTGCTCGACTCAAAAACCTAAACCTGGTATGGAGGCAAAAAAGTAGATCATGTGTAATATAATGTTTGACTCCTATCAACCATTATTATTAACTGCATTCAGTTCTCCAACGATATCGTGATGAAATCCGGCCACAAAAATCAAAACCATCGTTACGAGATATTCAAACTGGTAACAATTCTTATGTAGGAATTTACATTGTTTACTATTCTACCAGATTATTGATCATAATTATTTATTGCAGAATTAGAATTTTTTCCTGAAGAACTTCATGGTGTAATCGATCCCTCAAAGATATTTACAGCTGAAGGTTTATTTACTATTTAAGTTTTTATTTTGAGGATTCATTTAATATATTTGTAATCTAATCCCCTAATTGTTAAATGATAATAATTCACATTCATATCTTTAGCAAGAAGGAAAAAGGCACGAGTTGATATTAACACAAAGCTTGATGAGCTGCTAGTTGCAGAGAGTAAAGAGAAACCACCGGTAATCAAATATAAATTTTCGACTTTGAATCGATTGCATTTTTTCTTTTTTTTTTTTTTTGATTCATTGATAATTTTTAGGAAGAGAGAGACGACGAAGTGGTTGAATTAATAGATGAGGAAGAAGAAGAAGAGGGTAATGACTATTCAGAGAATTACTTTGATAATGGTGAAGTGGATGATCCGTTGTTGGGAGATGAAGAAGGAAATGGAGGTTAGATTAACTGTATTAATTACAATCTTTCTATTATTAATACTAATAATCGAAATTTTTATAGAGTCTTACTATGATGGTTGAGGTTAACGTGGTGCTGGCAAAAATAATAATATTGATAATCACAATAATACAATTATCTCATACAAATCTGTTTTGTCAAGCTGTCAGTGTATTATAAGGTAAAGAGATTTTTATAATGCTTCTATCTGTCGTTATTGGGTTAACGAAAAAATATATATTTTTTTTTATTAGAACGCGGGTAAAAATAGATGTAAATTTTTGATAATAAGTATTTATTTATTTATTTAATAGCAATGTTGGTTATTGCTGTTAATATTAAATTCATCTATAATGATGGTCCTCCACACATGATTAAAATGTTGATGCTTCCAATTTTGTTTTTTAGATGAAAAACAACACGCAAATAAATTACTACTTTATATAAACGGTACGAATAAATTATAATTTATTATTACAATACCAAACACAAATCAAGTGTAAATCCTTAACGGAGAAACATATACATTCTATTATATTGTAAAAATGAAAAAATAAATAAGTCTGGTGTGATAAAAGCACCGATGAAGGTCTTCTTTCGAACAAAATCCTTTTCGTAAAAAGTTTGGAAAAACACACGAACTATTTATCTGAATTAAAGTCCGCAAAGGCAACTACAGTTCCTTGAATATC